CTGTTCTCTCTCACTTTCTATATCAAATAGTTGCTTTCTCAAGACTTTGGTGATGATAATAATGATTATAATATTAATGTGATTAAGTGTTAGGATATGAAAGGTCAGGGGCTTTTCTTTTCTGAAAGAAGAGGTTGTTTTCCTGGTTGATTACTATTTAATTTCATTTAGGTAGTTTGGGTTTGCCTGAATGCCAGATTCTTGTGCTTATTCTATCACTTTCTTATTATATGACATCAAATAAATCTCTTAACATTTCTTTACTTTCTTGTTCACTTCACTCCTACCTATAATATGAAAAGTTTGGAAGACCTTTAAAGCTCTATGATAGTGTAATGATAGTGTAATCCATTGAATTGATGATTTATCCATGGCAGGTAGTACCTTTACCCTTAGTAGGTGATGATAATCCTACAATTAGAGGTAAGAATAAGTTTTTGAAGAAGGAAAATAATAAAAGAAAAGTGAATTAGAAAAATAAAGGAAACATAAGAAAAAATACACATCAGGGAGGCATGTGTTCAGATTGCCCCAAACAAGTTTATTTCTATTCTTTCTTAGATTTAAAAAAAAAAAATCTTCTTTTAAGAAGAAGGAAAGGAGACTATTAAATAGTTTTTTTCTCAAAGTTTAAGTCCTAGAAACACTGAAATTTTTTCTAAAATTTATTTATGAGAAATTTAGTTTCTTTTTTAAATTTTAAGTAGAGGATTTGAAATCCTCCAGAAGAAATTACTCTCTTTGGGGCAACACCCATCTGTGCAATGACATGCCTGTAAAGATTCTTCAGGAACACTGGAGAAATTCTTGAGAATATGATTGCCTCTTCAGATTACACGCCTTATCTTTCTGCTTTTGGAATGAACAAACAAATATAAAGCTTGGTGAAATTACATTGTATGTGTGAAAATTGATTCTTTACTTTTACCTACCTTATTAAGCATGTAAATTGCTAACTTTTCAGTAGATTCATTTAAAATAAATTATAACTAATCAAATGTGTCACGTTATTTTCTTTTAATTGACACAGTATATGTGCCAGCACATCAAAGGAAAAAATTCACTTTGATTATCGTTCACGAAAAACAGAAGTTAATTGGTTCAGAAGTGAATTTGCAGCTACATGAATTTGTATTGACAAATTGATGTGTACATGAATAAGGATCACATTTGTGTCCATCAGAAATGACTGCTCATGATATATGATGAAATGTTAAATGATTCTTCCCTCTTCTACCCATCTGTCTATAATTTATTCTTTTATTCATGGAAAGTATTAGTTATGTTATTTTAAAATTTTTTGGTAAAAACAATACATATTAAAAGTTTGGTTGTGTATATTTTCTTTTTTTAAAAGATTTTATTGGGGAATTGGGGGAGGAGAACAGCGCTGGGGAATCGGGGGAAGGGGAACAGACAAGTTGCTGTCCTTTTTTGTTCTTCAGTCTAGTTGTAGAGGACGTTGCTTCACTGGCCCATGTTGATATTATCATTGCGCTCTTACTGGGTGAGGTAGATCGCCCAGATCATTGCCGGCCACTGGGTGGCCTCTCACGGCAGCCCAGCTCCAGGTCGAGCTGTTGTTCACCATCTTAGCTGTAGAGGGCAGTGTCACTGGCCCTCATGTGGGATTCGAACCAGGGTCCTGCTGTTCAGAGCTGGCGTCTCAAGCCAGCTCTTAACCAATGCGCCACTCGGCTGGCCCTGGTTGTGTATATTTTCGTTATTTAAATGGTAGTTAAAATAGCTGAACTTCTTTGGTTGGAGAAGTAGTTTCATACCTGTTAAATGAATTTAGTTGTTTTTCAAAAACCATTTTACATAATGTTTGTGTATGTGGGTATTAGCCAGAGGTAAATACTGACTAATGTCTGAAGTTAAAAAAAAAAAAAGTTTGTGAGCTGTTTACCTACTTACACTTTAATAACAAGATGCTTATACATAGTTCCAAATAAAAATCTTATATTTGAGTCATCCGGTTAATTTGGGAAAGTGTTGGCCAACTCTTGCTCCCTGATGTGAACACACATTCATTCAGGGCCTATCTGTGAAATTCAAACATAGTTTCATGTGTCAGCTGCTAATAATGGCTCTTAAAGCAAAATTAGTGGGCTACCTAATATAAATTAAAGGATAATTTATCAAATTGCTGATTGTTTTTTTCATGGCAGACATTTTCAGTTGTTTACACAGTTTACAACACTGGTGCTAAAGCAAATGTTTACAGTTTAGTTAAGCTGTGATACCAGTAAAAGATCTGTTGGGTCTTAAGCCAGTCTTTTGAAAATACAATCAGTATGTTCTTTTCTGTTGGTGTTTGTATTTCAAAATGGCACTGCTCATGTTGGCTTTATCAGTTTGTAAGCAATACTGCTTAGATAGTTTTTCTAATTCTGTGCATATATGCCAGATTTCCTCTAAATCCTGCCTGTAGACGCACCCCTTAAAGCCTGAGATGTTTATGGCTGTGCCGCCTACTCCTATGGTATTTCCATGCCTCTTTTTAGAAAGCTGACAGTTTGTTGTATATGTTTTTCCACAGCTCTGCCGTATTGCTTCAAGTTGTCCCCCTCCCAGCTTCTTTCTTTCTGTTATTTTTTTAAAGTTCTCTTACTTAGCTGTGTGTCAGACAGATCTGGGTTTGAAGCTTTGCTTTTTCCCTTAGTAGGACTGTGACTTTGTGGGGGGTGGTTTTAAACTTGAGAGAGGCTCTCTTCCCTCAACTGTACGGTAGTAATTTATGGTGTTTTGTTAAATAATTAACATAATTAAGTGCTTGTAAATGAAGGAAGTATGTGCACACTGTTTCATTAGTTCTTCTCACACTTTATTTCTCTTCCCATTTTATAAGTAAGTTTTTACTGATATGAGTGCCTCAGATTTGATTTCACCGTCTGATAGGGGTTTTCTCACATTTAACCACATCGATTAGTATCACTCACCACTGTAAAGCACATCGTAGATGGCCAATGATGTCTCAATTTAAAAATCCCCTGGAAACAAAGCTCCATTTAATAAAGTTGGCCTGGGTACAGTGATGATGGAGAAAGCTTCCTTCGCACAGTTGGGAAAACCCACAAGGGAGCCGTCTCGCACATTGGTCTCAGGGAGGCTTGCTGGCTGCGGAATGCTCTCTCAGAAGGGTGGGACCACCTAGGGTTCTGCAGGCTGGTCACGCTCAGTGCAAGAGGCCCTGCTCATGGCGTGTCACCATGGACCACCTCGGTCCCCAGGCTGTAGACCTTTCACAGAGGGCGAAATCCAGGCCCTCCTGCTTGGCAAGACTGCTTTATTTGGAGGGGGAGGGTGGAGATGCATGGGGGGAGGGAATTTACATTTTAGAATAATACATCCTCTGTTTCCTAGATTATTTCTTTTTTGTGGAAATAACCAAAAGAGCGTGTCATTAGAAACGACTCTGCCATTTAAGGACAAGGTAATCCTATGCCGTATGGTAAGGATGATATTTATAGTCATAAATCAAAACCATCCGAGATTTCTCTGGGCCTTTGAAGTTTGTAAGAAAAGCACAGGCACTTTCTTTGTGGTCGTGTTTTGTGACAGGGCAGTCCCTTGATAATAGTTTCGGTATTTTATCCTTAGCTTCTTATCAGCAGGGCTATGGTATGTTTATGAGCACCTCGCCGCTTTGTAATGAACATTTGAGCTAATTCCTTGTACAAAGAGCTGTAGGCACATTTGGACACGTTGTGAGTCAGCCCTTACTGTCAAGTGCCAAATAACTCCCTTCTGCTGGAGTTTGTCCAGCCCCGGTGTCTACTGCTCCGGCTTCCCACCAGGGTTGGCTTCTTCTGGAAAAAGATGAACACTTGACTGATTCAAGCTGTAGCCCTCTTTTCATGTTCTTTGTGTGGTTACTGTGTCAAGTGCTTTGATCCAACTTTGGCAACAGTAGATGTGGACTACATTTTTAAAAAGTAATACTTCTGGTAATCTACATTACTTGTAGGCTTGCTTTCAGTTCTTTTCAACAATATGTGTGAAGGTCTATTATGATTTGCACTTTGCACTGTGCCAGGAGAACTCGAGGTACGATAGGTACATAGAGGGAAAAAAAATACAATCTCTGCCCATGAGGGGGTATGGGTTCCACATTGAAGTTGGAAGCTATAAGTCTAAAAAAATGAGCAGTTTAAAGAATGGGGGTGATGTGTTTAAACTCCTCCTCCTTTTCTTCCACTCGTGTACAGATTTCTGCCCAGCCACCACTTTCTCTGGGGAAATTTCCTTCCCGGTACCCCTGGCAAGTCCTGTGCCTGTTTTATGCTCCAATTTATGGTGTAGGCTTCTTCTTTTATAGCATTTGTCATGACTGTAATTTTGATTCATGTGAGAGATATTTTCATTGTGTTTTCCTTTGATGGACTGGAAACTTCCTGGGTTCAGGGGCTCTGTCTATTTTAATTCAGCTGTGGTGGCACAGAGCAGGTCTTCAGTAGTCATTCACTCTATACTTGGTTAAATGAATGTTGAGTTCCAACTATGACATTTCTCTCTCAGGCTTCCTATTTGTCACACTTATGTAAACCTCTCATGTGCTCTTTTGTTTTGTAGTATTTTTAGTCCTAATGGGATAATCACTTTGAATTGCTTCCTCAGAGTCATGTTTATTATTGTTGGAATGGTTTGAGATGGTGAGTATTTAAGAAAGGTCTTAGGACCGGAGCTGGGCAGAGGTGAACATTGTCAACATCCGTTAGTTCTGTGTCATTTTTCCAGGTGGAAGTAACTTAAGGCTTAATTTTCCTTTCAATTCTAATGAATGTTTCTAAGCCATTATCTTGTTTCCTCTAGTAAATGACAAAACCCACTGAAGAGGCTTAATTGATATTCGCAATTTTTAGATATCCGAGTGGGTATAGGTGATGAATGGATGCTCTTGCTATTAGGCTGACTTAAAAGAATGACCTGAATATTCAATGATTTGTTAATCAACTCATCAATAATGGGAAAAATGATTCTGTTGGTCTTAACATTTTGAGTTCCTAGAAATTTTTTGTCGTTTTGATATTTACACACGATCTTTTAAAGTTGACATCATTCTCCTTCTCTTCTCTCTCTGATATTCTGAGTGCAATTTAATTGATGGTTAGCTCAGCTTCACCTTTGCTATTTATTAAACCGTTTTTATGTTGGACCCTTGTTTTCATAGGAATCACATTAAAAATTAAGGCCTTACAACTTCTTCAGTTATTACAGAACTGCACAGACTTGATTTTTCTTTTTTCTTCTTCTTCTTTTTTTTTGGGGGGGGGTTGGGGAGTGGGGAACACCCATATGAGACTTGCAGTTATTCCTCTCCCCGAACTAGCTGCCTTTTCTTTCCCGAGAATGCATGATATAGAAATACTTCTAAGAGAAAGTAAAACTAACATTTTAATATCTAACATGTATTAATATTAAGGAAGTTAAATATTTTTGAGTTAATAGCTTTTCCAGCAAAGTTTAAAATGTTGCATAATTTATAAAGTATGATTTTTTTTTAAATTGGGGAATTGGGGGAGGGAAACAACACTGGGGAATCAGGGAAGGGGAACAGACAAGTTGCTGTCCCCTTGCTCCTCAGTCCAGCTGTGGAGGATGTCGCCTTACTGACCCATGTTGGTATTATCATTGTGCTCTTTCCGGGTGAGGCAGTTGCTCACCGGCCATTGGACAGCTGCTCATGGTGGCTCAAGGCAGCTCACGAAAGCCTACGCCCGCTGCCAACCAGCCCCACTGCAGCCTATTCCATTGCCAGCCCAGCTCCAGGTCGAGCTATTGTTCACCATCTTAGCTGTAGAGGGCACAGCGTCACTGGCCCTCATGTGGGATCTGAACCAGGGCCCTGCTGCTCAGAGCTGGAGTCCCAAGCCATCTCCTAACCAGTGCGCCACTCGGCCGGCCTTATAAAGTATGATTTTGACATCACTCAAAATGAAATTTCAAATAAAATGTTTTATAGTGTTTCCATATACTTTCATATTGGAGATACCTGTATTTTAACTTTGAAAAATATTTAGTAATGTGATGAAACAAATCAAAGATCTTCATTGATGTGGAAAAAGGTAACCAATAGCGCATTGTTACTCAAACTGACTAAAGAGTGAAACGTTTTTTCTCATAAAAACACTAAGGTATGTGGCAAATTTGTGGCCCAGTCTTATGGTACACATATAAATGTGCAGTTGTTGAAAATTGCTCCTCTTCTAAAGTGAAAATCCCATTCATTAAAAAAAATAAAACTAGTCAAATTTTTGCTCTCTTTGCTTTGGCAACTGTGAACTAAGTAAAAAAATAGCTTTCAACAGAGTCACCTCATTATAGGAACTTTCTTTTGTTAGTGAACTAATACCGATTTGCAGAACTGATGCCAAATAGAATCAGGCATGTGTCCAGTCACATAAATTGCTTTGCTAAGGAAACAACATACAAAGGAAAAATAATGTTTTCTTCACACTTGGCTGTTAAGATACATTTCATGATTGGTGTATCGATTGATCTCTGAATTGGAACAAAAGCTAGTGTTCTGCTACATATAAATGTTAATAAATGTGCTGTACAAATTCAGTGAAATAATTGTGAAAATGATAAAATTTAATGAAAGGCATCTGTACCAAGGGAGACCTAGGTTCTGGACCGAGTGCTGTGTAGCCAAGGGCAAATTAATAGACCTCTCTGGGCCTTAATTTCCTTACCTTTAAAACGAGAGGCCCAACTGAATGGCCTTTTTTTATGACTCTAATTCTCTGAGTGTCGTGGGAGTAAATTTTATTTCTCTTTGCAGTTCAGAAAGCTAACTCTTTTTGAATGATTCCTTTTCAGGTAGGTATGAATATCTCCTGCAGGCAACTTACATCAATCCCTTCCAGATAGTTTATCTGCAATGTTTTCCCTTCCTTTTCTTACTGATACATTTGGACTCCTCTTGGCAATGATGACAGCTTCAGTATCCTTCTTGTCACCTTGCAACTTTAAACATGAAGACACTCATTGCTTTCAAAAGGAAAAAAAAAAGTAGACATTAGGACTATGAAGTCTGGCCTTGAAACATTTCCTACCTTTTATTAAATGTCCCATTGTCTGAACAGAATTTATTTCAGAATGTGACATGGGAGATGAAAGGAGCTAGATGCATTTAAGAATGCAACTATATAGTCCAGTACACATTTTAAATGCTATCTTAAATCAAACTCAAATGGAAATGTATGAACTAAGGTATTAGGAAGTGTTTTGGCTTGTCTGCTACTAAATTAGGGCAAAACACCTGGGTGCTTTTCCTCTTTTAAAATTGAAATAGATTTGGGCCGGCCTAGTGGCACGTTGGTTAAGAGCTGGCTTGGGACGCCAGAGGGCCCCGGTTCAGATCCCACATATGAGGGCCAGTGACACTGCCCTCTACAGCTAAGATGCTGNTGCCCTATCTCAACACCATCCAACTCCTGACACCACAGAGATCTGCACTTCTGTGAAATAGTCTTGAAATCATTTTTCCTCTTTTCCTTCTACTCACCATATCTTTTTGACATAAATCTCTGAGAATGACAAAATGCCATACCTTCCTCCTGGCCAAACCATGGTAGGGTACAAGTCTTACCCAGCAGGAGTGCACACTAGATAACAGCTCTCTTGGGAGCCTCAGTCTGGAGCCTTTGTGCAGTGCACAGTTTGCACAGCTGTACATGGCAGCCCTGTTGCCTTGCTCTAACACCTCTTCTCCTGTGTCTTCTGCTACTTGTGGGTGGAAAAGCAATCTGATGATCTAATTAAGTGATTCCCATGAGGTAGAAAAATTGTTTTTTTCACCTTCCACAGAGGTTATGTATGAAATACATTTGAAGTGGGATAAAACCCTTCTAGTCTTTTAATATCCCTACTTAATGTCAACTGGCCAAAATAATTCTCCAGGTAAATCCACCAAAAGAACGGTTTATTTGGGAAAAGAAAAAAGAAACAGAGCCACCATGGAGTGCATATAAGTGCACTCACTGGCTGGTATCTCAGCTGGCCACCTGTGAGCGAAAAGAGCCCAACATAGCTTCCCCTTTATTCTCATCCCTTCCCTGGATGTTACCACAAATTTCAACAGCAAGTCAAGACCAGAGAGTTAGCAAGCTGCCTAGCTCCACCCATAATCCTCCCAGCTCTATGGTTAAGCAACTTAAGATGCCAGTACACTTTTATCAGTAAGACACATTCCAATAGCAGTGTCCCTACTCTAAAGAAAAATCTGTCTCATTTAGTATAGTTTCTGTTAGGAGGTGGCAGCAGGGAGTGCATCTTTCAGAAAACATGCCATTTAAACACCACTGGGTGCAGGAGATGCTTAAGATTTTTTTTTTTTTTAGAGGTAGCGTTAACCATTATAATGCAGTCATCCCTTGATAACTGATTTATTGGAATATGAACACTGGGCAGCTGTTTAAGAAGCATTAAGCTAATTGTGGCTTGTGTCCACCAATTCAGTGATTCATCTCAGAGTACAGAACTGACATACTTGAGAGAATATTCAATTCCCTGAATCCCCCTCCCATTTTCTCTGAATTCTAAAAGTCAAGTAGCTGTGACATCTTACATGACCTATTGTGTTGTTCTTGCCTTCTGTGGTTGATTAGTTCAGGTTGGTGGAGTGTAGTTGAAATAGCCTGTACTAATACCNGCCCTCTACAGCTAAGATGCTGAACAACAGCTCAACCTGGAACGGGGCTGCTGTGAGTCACCAGCAACCGCGTAGGCTGCAGCCCCTGCTGCAGTGGGTTGCCATGGGCTACCGTGTGTAGCCAGCAGTCAGCATGAGCAGTCAGCATGAGCAGCCAGCAGCCGCCGTGAGCAGCTGTCCAGAAGCTGGCGACTGATCTGCCTCACCCAGGAAGAGCACAATGATGGTGCCAACTTGAGCCAGTGAAGCAACGTCCTCCACAACTAGACTGAAGAACAAAAGGACAGCAAGTTGTCTGTTCCCCTTCCCCCAATTCCCCAATAAAAATCTTAAAAAAAAAATGAAATAGATTTTTTAAAAACTGTAAGACTTAGAGCTAGCCATCAGTACAGATTGTAGAAGAATTTTAACTGGATTTTGTTTGGTCTTAGTTTTATCCATTTTTTCTTTGTCCGTCTATGTAATTTTATAAATGTCAAGCCTATTTTTATTTCTTGTAAGAAGTTGATGTGACAGAAGTGAGTTTCTGCTGATTATTAACCAGTACTTTCGCTGATGAAATATTTATTCAGTGCCAAAAATCATGATTTCTTTTGAAAACAACTTTGTACTTGGCAGAATATGAAGAAGTTCTTTTGTTAATAATAATCAAAGGTGAAATATCATAGATGAAGAAATAACTGCACACGCTTAGGCGTATTCATTAGAAGACACGAGTATTAAGTTGTGAGGGAAAGGGTACCTGGTAGAGTTTGCCTTAATCTGCTGACTGTCTGTTCAGAAATGTGTGGAGGAGGAAAGATTAGATCTTGTTGCGATGTAGTCAGAAGTTTTTAGCCACAGCAAAGCTCAGTGTGCAGAATTACAAGAGGCCCATCCATGGCTTAGAGGGAGATGTCAGGAAACGTAGCTGTACTTCCGATTCCACATGGAACTGAACAAGTCCCTATAAATTCATGTTTCTTTATCTGTAAAATGAGGGTAGGGTGTACCTCGGGTGATCACTGACTTCTTCTTCTTCATTCTGACACTCTGTGAAATCAAGATCACATTGATTATGTTCATTATTTGTTTTTCCATTTCCAAAGCCTTTTATTCTTTGGTTGGCCTTTAGAGAAGTGAAGTCAAAATAAAAGTCCCTCCATTCTGAATTTTTTTTTCAATTGACTTCTCTTTTGCTTTTCTGTCCAAAAGAATGAACATGTTCCTCTGTTGAACTTGAACCAAATGAAGATGTAAAATGGGAAATTCGTAGCATTGTGCATTTTTCTGTACAGATCTGGCTCCTGTAAATCTGGGAAGTCTGATAGAGTTCATAATAGTTATTTATATGCTAAAGAACAAAGATGTGCTTGTTGAACCCCTGAATAAAGGATGTCTAGACAGCTTTTTGTTCTTTCAATTGTGTAGATATTTTTATCCTGATCTTACTATGATGGGAAATGTTCATTATCCCCCTCTGATAGTTTAATTACTTTTTTTGAATACAGTCATTGGGAAAGCATAAAGTGTAGGACCCAGTGCTTAGGCATTTATGTATGAATTTATTATAATTAGTTATATATTTGCTTAATTACAGAACATGGCCTGATAAGCCATACTTTCAGATATTAAAAGTTGAAATATATAGACTTTATACAACTCGTCTAGAATTTCTAAATCTAAAAAGCTCTGAAAAATTGAAACTATTTTGTAAATTTGGCCCATATTTAGAGGCAAACTGATCTGAATTGACATAAGATTATTTATAATGGAAGCATTAGAAACGTTCATGCATCTCCCAGCAGATATATTACTGCTTGCGATGTTAAGGTGTAAAATGTGCAGTCTGCTACATTTCTAAGCTTTGAAAATTCCTGAATTTCAAAACACTGGATGTTCAGCTAAAGGACTGTGATCTTTATTATCATTAAATTTCCCAAAGGATTAGCATATAAGCATAAGAATATTGGTTTCTGACTCATTATTCTCAGTGGACATACAATGCAATAAATTGACAATAACTTAGTGCTTGCCCCTAAGAAAAGTTGGAATTAGAATCTGGAGAAATGAACTACATACACTATGGGAGAGAATGTTAACAAACACACAGCATGATAGTACTTATCTGTAGAAATTAGTGCATAGTACCTCCAATTGTTAAAACTGGTTTTCTGTTTACTATAAATAGAAACAGTGTTTTGTACAGACTTGCTAAACTTGATAAAAGAAATTCTGAATAGAAATAGTTGACATGCAGACTAATATTTGCATGAAAGCTAATGAATGGACTGTTTTGGAAACATTATGTTGAGTAATTTGGCTTTGAAAACAGAGTAGTAAAGATTGCTTTTTTAAATGAAAAATGCAAATGACATACAATAGTTTTGACTCCACAGATTTTTTTTTTGTAACTACTGTAGGAATGAAACTAATTTTCCTTTTGCTTAACAAAATCTGTATATTAAAAAATTCTTGAAGTAGTTTTTAAAAGCTTTTAAATGATCCCCTGATTGACTTTTATTTAATATTCATATTTTATAATAAGTCAATTTTTGAAAGATTTTATTAAGCTGCAATAGTAGTATTTATGTTTAGGTTTTAATTAAACTATATCCAGGGACAGAAATCATGGTTGTTAAAAAATTTAGAAAATGGCTCATCAATTATTGACTCTCAACCTTACAATCTGTAATACCTAAAAAGAGGCACTTTTCAACATCTGTGCTAGAATCTAATGTCTATTATCATTTCCAGTCTCATTTTCATCATTTTTCTTTTCACTGGCCCTCTTAAGAAAGAAAAAGGGGAAAGGAGAAGAAAAGACCTTTGGGATGGTGTGAAAGTAGAGTATTCAGTTCTTTATTTGCTTTGGGCTGTCACGGGATGATGAAAATGATGATAATCATATGTGGTCTGTCCCACATGATAACAGGGCAGCATGTAAGTGAACCGCTGGCTGGAAGTCACATAACCATTTTAAACAAGTCAATTTGTTACTAATGTACTTACTATTATATAAAATTCTATAAAACTGACTTTCTTTCCTTTTTCATGTCCTTAGAAATGTATAATTCTCAACCAAATTGTAAATGTCCCCAGGAAGCTAGTATACATTTTCTATCTCAAGTTGACTGAAAAGAGACAGTTAACATGCGTTCATACACGCCCCCCTCCCCCTGTCCTCTGCATTCCGGACCCTGAGAAATTTCTTCATTGACTTATTTGGAGTTAAGAGGTTTATCTATTTTTAGAAACAGAAATGACTTTCTGTGGGTTCGGAAGGCTTTCCGTTTTCTTCAGTGAATCTGTAGTTCCAAAGTCCAGGATATTAAGACACGGACTTACTCTTTAACATGCGTTGCCTAGAAAGGAGAGCTGAGACAGTGGGGTATTTATGCCCACCCCAAATCCAAAGCATAACAAGATTATATATGCAGAACCAAGTGCAGGACAAATCTATATCCTAGAGCCTCAATATCGTTAATAACACTGTAATGTATTACTATAATAGAAATTCATCACGAACAAAGGGTTTGTAGTGACTGGAAGAACATTTGTATAAGCTGATGGATGTTTGCTTTTCTAGTGTGGTAGTGCTGTAATAGAATTCCAGCATACATTTGTTTGGCTTCTTGAGAGCCAAACAGAGTACATCCAAACAGAATATCCTGTAATTTATTTAAACATATTTGCGTGGCCTGCAAATATCGAAATTTCAAGAACGTCAAGTGCCCTTTGCTATTTGCTCAGATTTTATAATCATTGTTGCAGATATCAAGTGTAATATTTTCATGGTTTTGAGTATGTTAAATTATAGATGAATGTACTTGAACCTTCTGGCGTAATGTATAAACACAGGGCCATGTGACTCCTTTGTTCTCATTTCATGACATTATACAGTACAGTAAAATTACATTACAATGATTTGTTTCATGCAGACACATTATAGGCCAAATTATATCTTTTAAAATATTACATATGTAAAAAGTGTTCCATGAGTGAAAGGCAAGTATTGTTGATCTCCTCTAAAATCAAACTTATAAACAGACTTAAGTTAACTGGATTGGGTTGTTTGTCTTTGAGAAGACATAAAATATTTCTCATTCTACTGTATTTTAAGAGCCATTCAATGGATTAGGCAAGGCAGCTATATATTTATTTTGAGCACCTCTTTCATAGGAGACAATATGCACGTGTACTGAGCATCTCGGACACCACAGTGAATAAGATAGAGAAATCAGATCTAGTGGGATAAAGTCTCATTTATCTGATATTCACCCACATTATAACTGAAAAGTTTTAGGAGGGGGAGCATAGGACCATATGAAAGTGTTTTGTGGGGAGACTTAATCTTGATGAGTCCGGTTGGACAGAGTGTGGTGGAAGCCGAGAGGCAGGACTTGAGAAAGTAAAAATGAAACTAATTCCCAAAGGATACGTAGGATCTAGCTAGGAGATAAACAGGAGTTCCCCGCATGTTACTAATGAATCAGCTCTTATTTGAATTGTGGAATATAATTTTAAAATTAATCTGAGCACTTTTCTCCTATACATATACTTGATCAAGTGTATTCCAGAAAAAATAGAAAAGAAGAGCAAACCTCATTAGCAATAACAATAATCAATGATCCAAGAAACCTTCTCCCCAGAAAGCATACCCTTATACCCTTCTTCCCCAGAAAAGTCCTGTATAACTACAAATTCATATTTTAATAAATACTTCTGAATCCAAATGTTTAACAAAAATGGGGTCACAGCGTCCTTAGATTATAGATTTATATCCCTTTTAGTAGCTGCAGCATCTTTGTAAATAGGTACACTTATTTAATCAATCCCTATTCATAAACCTTTTAGTTACCTCTGCCTTTTCCACAAACCAAAAGTATTTTAAGCAAAGTCTACTGTATTTATAAAGTTGACAGCCGTTTAAGACCCAAGTTAATCTGAAATAAGGAAGCATTCATTGATCAATCCCAGAGCTTCTCCAATTATGTTTGCTACTAAAAAGGCGGTTCATAGGAGGATTGAAGGTACAGACATTTGACTTACTGAGATATATATTCTTCTCCAGAAAAAAGAAAACTCATTTGTAATGCCATGAAGAAAACAGGAATCATTTGCATTGCGATCAAGCTTTTTACAACTTTAGCTTTTATCCCTACAGAGTAGAAAAATAGCTGAGGCAATCAGAAACCCGTTCCACATCAGATAATCAGTGCAGAGTCCACTACACAATGCTCGATGTTCCAGTGGAAAACATCTAGAATCTTTTTTGCCGATTTTCAAGTTCTTGACAGTTTTTCCTTAACTGTCTTCTTCCTATGATTATTAGTAATCTCCAGAGGTAATTCTTCATCAGAAAAAGCTGCAGTGAGAGTGTTAGTTGGCCATTGAAGTATCTCTGAGTTTGCAGATTGAGAACCATGAGCTATTGAGGCGATAGAATTAACTTTAATCCAGAAATTTTCATAAGAAATCTTGGATTGGACTTTTAAAAGCCTCCGTGATTTGCCTCTCTCAGGCTAGAAGAACACCACCAAGCAACTCTCTCCAACAGATTTCACCTTTGGTACCTATGTAATTGGGTGAATTTGTCAGGTTGAGGTTCCCAACATTTGCTAAGGTTCCTGCCAACCAGAAAGTGACCTTTCTCATCCTTTCTTCCTCTCTGGGAACCTGTCGGCCAGGTACGAGACCAGTTTCCCTGGGAGAGATCTGTAGCCATTTGTTCCACCTGTAAAGTCAATCCTTTGTCTCTCAGTAGTTGCTTGTCATTCTTGATTAAATGAAAATCATTTATTAATAAGATATTCTAGGGATAGTTTTGATTACACAATTGATATGTCCATTAATAAAAGAAAGGCCCAGTTCTTATTGAACCTGTGAAAATAATCATATGACCATGAAAAGTAAGGACACTCCTTAGAAGTCTCTGAATTCTGGGAGGATCAGTGAGAATTAGATGCTCT